CAGGCACCTCCTCCAGGGGCGAGGGCGGCCTGGACTCCGGCCTGCGGGAGTGGGCTTCGCCTCGGCGCTCCTCGACACCCCTCTTCATCACCTTCAGCTCGCTGGGGTGAGGTGTGGCCCGACGCTGCAGGCCCTGCAATGTGCACGAGGGGGCAGGGTGGGGCAGGGTAGGGCAGGGGTCAGGGGAGGGCAGGGAGGACGCAGCCCACCCAGGAAGCCCCCCGCCATACCCGCTTCTCAGCGGCGGCTCCCTCAGCATCGTCGCCGCACGTGGGGACCTCCAGAAACTGGATGACGCTGACGCGGCTGGCCGGGGCGTCACTCCAGCTCTCCGAAGGGCTGCCCTGCCGCCCCGGGGCCTCTAAGGACAACGAACGTCAGGGCGGCCGGACCTGTCTGACGCCGTACCCAGCCCCGGCTCACAGCTGCTAATCGCCGGCAACCTACCAAGACCGGGCGGGGGCTGCTGAGGCAACAGGTAGCAGGTGAGCACCTTCTCGCCGGTCTGAGCATCGTCCTCGGTCTGGAACCGGAGCATCGGCTGTGCCTGGTTCTCAGCCAACCACAGGGCCTTGAGGTTGAGGTGGGTGAGCGCAAACGGCAGACTCTGCAGCCTGGCGGCCGGTGGGCACGGTCAGCTCAGTGGGGGCCGGTGGGCACGGTCAGCTCAGCGGGGGGCTGGGCAGGGCGGCTGGGCACTCACCGGTTCCCGGCCACGTCCAGCACATGTAACTCAGCCGTGTGGGCGAGCTCCGGTGGCAGGGCGGCCAGGCGGTTGTCCCGCAAGGAGAGAACGCTGAGCGCCACACAGCCTCCAATCTCCGGTGGCAGCACCTCCAGACGGTTCCGGTCCGCGTTGAGGTTGGTCAGCTTGGTCAGCTTCCCCAGAGAGCGGGGCAGAGCCTGGCCAGGAAGAGGGAGGGCCAGGGGTTGGCAGAAATCCGCTAGGGTTTGGAAGGAGAGGGGCACCCCTCAGGGCAGTCTCCAGGGCCCAGGCCGCCTCTCCCCCCGCCAACCGCTTCCTGCCGACGCCCCCCCATCCAAGCAGACAGCCAGGCCCCACCGCACAGCGGCAGCCCACCCTCACTCCCCCAGTCCCGCCGGGCCGGGCCGTACCGTCAGCAGGTTCTCCGTGAGGATTAGCTCAGAGAGGTTCTCACAGTCGCCGATGGCCTCGGTCATCTCACGGAGCCGGTTCTGGTCCACCTTCAGGATGGACAGCTGCTTCAGCTGACCTGGGGGCGGGGAGACGCGGCGACAGGGCCGAGTGGGGTGGAGGGCCCAGCTGCCCATGCAGCTCCCAGCTCGGAAAAGCCCGGCCCAACCCCAGGGCGGGCAGCACTCCTCCCCGCCGCCTGCCCCGTCCTCCCTGGCCCCCGGGAGGACAGCTCCGCACACCCGTGTGCCCTCCCCCGCGCGCCGTCCACACCCTGCCGCCACAAGACGCCTCAGCCCCTCAGGGGCGGCACCCGGCCACCCCTCATCCCAGCGTCCTTTCCCCTCCTCGGGAGCATCTCTCAGAACCCAAGTACAGTCAGGGCCCTCCCCCCGGGCCCTCCCCCTCTAGGCCAGGGTTCACTGCCAGCCGCGCCCCTCCCAGCGCCCGGGCTGGGGCTGACCGATGCCATCAGGAAGCCGCTGCAGCAAGTTCTGGGAGAGCAGCAGGTCGGTGAGCAGCAGGAGCCCGCCGAGCTCCGCGGGCAATTCCTCCAGCCGGTTTTCCGACACGTCCAGGCACACCAAACGTCGCAGGTTCCCCAGCTCCTGAGGGTGGGCACAGAGGGTCAGGGGGCGGCCGGGTGCCAGCCAGGGGCTGCCACACCCTCACTCACCGGGGGCAGTGCTGACAACTGGTTGCGGTCCAACCACAGCTCCCGGAGGTTGGGCAGCGCCCCGAGGGTGTCAGGCTGCAGCAACAGATGGGGACAGAGTGGCAGGGTCAAAGGGACAGCCAGAGGTTCACCTGCCCCCCCTCCCCGCCCACGACGGCCCCGCCCCCCACGACGGCCCCGCCCTCTCCATACCAGTACTTCGAGCTCATTGCCTCCCAGATCCAGCTGTTCCAGCTTGACCAGGAAGGACAGAGACCTACAGAACAAAGAGCAGGTTCTGCTGTGGTTGCGTGGCCCAAGGCCCCCTAGGCCCGCAGCTCAAGCAGGTGCTGGAAAAAGACCCGCGCCCACTCACGCAGGCAAGGACTTGAGCAGGTTCTCCCGGAGCTCTAGGGTCACCAGGTTGGCGAGGCTGAAAGAGAGATCAGGGTGGGGAGTGATGGAAGCAGGGACGGTGGGGAGAAACGGAGAAGTGGGGCTGAGCCGAGTCCCCTTGCCCTGGAGGGCACTCACTTGCCCACGTCCCCGGGCAGCGCCTGCAGAGACACATCATTCAGTGCCAGGTGAGCCAGGCTGCGCAGCTGAGTGAAGCCTTCGGGGAGCCTGCGCCAGAGGAAGAGGGGCCTCAGATGTCCAGAACAGGGCTGTGGAAGCCCCCACGCCCGCCACTGCCCCCCACCACAGCCACCACCCACCTAGACAAGGGGTTCCCGCTGAAGTCTGCGATCTCCAGAGCCTTGCAGAACTTGATGCTCTCCGGGATCTCGGGGATGTCTGCGAGAGAAGCGGGGTCACCGTGGAGACACACCCAGAGTCCCCAAGGGCTCAGAGCCCTTCCTGCCACCCGTAAGCTCCACCCCAGCCCCGCGTTCGGCTCCCGCACCGTTCCGGGACACGTCCAGCTCCACCAGCTGCATAAAATTGGCCACCTCGGGGGGCAACCGCTGGATCTCGTTGTCACTCAGGCCCAGCTTGCGCAGGTTCAAAAGCCGAAAGAAGGGCTGTGGGCAGGGAGTGGGGTCAGGGGAGGAAAGACTCTGCAACAGAGAGCTCCTCCAAAGCAGACACGAATTCACAAGCTACAGATCCCGTGGGCCTCTGCCTGCTCCAGGCCACACAGGAACCCAGAGTCCTGCCTCATCACCCCCGTCAGCAGCAAAAAACCACAAAAGGAAAGACAATTGTGTACCCACACCTGGCTACACTTCTACCTTCCTAATTTCTGGCACCTGATCCCTTGACATCACCTCAGACGCCTTCCCTGCCCCCATCTTGCCCTAGGACGGACCTCACGTTCCCAAAAGTCATCCATCCGCTCCAAGCTGGGTGGTTCTCTGTTCCCTACTCTGGGTGTTCCCGCAAGACTCCACTTGCCACCTGCAGCACCTCTTCTACCCACCCAGGAAGGGAGCCTGTCAGGGCCCACAGTGCTTTCTGCCACGGCACCCAACCACCCCGGCCCGAATCTGTAGCAAGAACTTGACAGCTAGCTACAAAACAGAAAGGAAAAAAAAAAAAATTTGACAACAGCAGTGAAGCCCCACGAGCACAGGTAGTTCTGAAGGCTCCTGGAAACGGCGGGGGACAGAGCCCTCCCATCCAAGCCCAGGACGGGGAGGGGGGGCACACCCTTTGTGGCACACAGCCCCCAGGCACTGGGCCACTTAGCACCCTGTCTCCAGGAAGGAAATCCTTTTATGACCTGCTTTCTTCAGCCTCTTCTCCGGAGCGCCCTTAGAAGGAAAGCAAGCTGACCGGGAGGCGCGACAGCAGAGAGCGCTTGGAGAGCCTGCAGACCTCAGACCTATCAGGGCCGAGGACCGCGCGGAGAGCTCGCCTACCCCAACTCTGCCCCCAGGAGGAGCGCAGGCCGAGGCGAGGGCTGGGCTCCCTGCCTCCAGAGCAGCCCGGCAGGTTGGGCTCCACCTGCCAGACCAGGTTCACCTTCCCCTGCGTCCACCCCGTCCCACCTACCACGGCCGCGGCCCTCGCCCCAGCGCTGCCCTCCGAGGCTGTGCTCGGCCCCACCACTCCCAGGCACGCACCCGATGGCCACTGCCACCTGGTGCCAGCACCCGAGGTCGCTGAGGAGGGTGGGGCCGGCCCGACCCCGCCGCCGGGTGCCCAGGTGCGGACGGCCGCTCACCTTGGGCAGCTCGCGCAGCTGGTTGGCGTCGAGGAGCAGCTCCTCCAGGCTGCGGCTGTAGCGGTAGATCTCCTCGGGCACGGCCTGCAGCGAGCAGTGCCGCTTGTCCACCGACTCCACGTGCCGGTTGCAGCGCCACAGCGGGATGCACTTGAGCATGGTGCGGGCGGGCAGGCGCGCGGCGCGGGCTCAGGCGCGGGCGCGGGCGGCGGGCTCGGCCGGGGGGCGGGGCTCGGTCCGCATGAGCGCCGGGGCCGGCCGGCCGGCCGGGCGGGGGAGGGGCGGGGCGGCGGCGTTGGCGGCGGCGGCGCAGGGCCCGGGCCGCGCTCGGAACGCTCGGCCCGAGGCGGCCGGAGGCGGGGGTGAGGGTGTGTGTGTGTGTCGGGGGGGAGCGGTGGGGGCCGGGGGCAGGGGTGGGCGCGCGGCCCGGCCGGCACTCAGGTTCTGGGGAGGCGGCGGCCCCGCATCCCGGCCAGCCCGCTCGTCCGCCGCTGCGCCGCAGCCGGAACAGCCGCCGCTGCCCGCCGGACTGCCCCGCCGACAACCGCCGGCCGCCGCGCAGCCCGCCGGGAAGCCGAGGCCCGCCCTCGCCGCCCATCGCAGCCGGGAACTGCAACCCCCACAAGGCCCCGCGATGCCGGCGCCTCCGAGAACCCGTACGGCGCCGCGCACAGCCTGCCGGGAAGCCCCGCTCCCGTCCGCGGGCGCCGAGCATGACGGGACATGAAGTCTGCGTAAGAACCGAGCCCTCGCGGGCTGTCCCGAGGCTTCCTGGGGCCCCTTCGCCTCGGCCCCCCCCCCCAGGGTCGGCCTCGCGACCCCCACGGCGGGCGGCCAGCCGCGCCCCCGACCCGCTCCCTCGACAGGCTTCTCCCAGCGCTGGGCGGGAACAGGTGATCCTGGGGAGGGGTGCCCCCGCCCTCCCCCCGCGGCAGGGGAGCCCCTGCGCCCTCTGCGGCCGGCACCCCCCCTTGCTCCGGCCCCCGGGAGCCCAGAAGCACAGGACGACCGCCACACCGGGATGAGGGCCAACAGCATCTGCACCTTTATCCCCCCGCGGGCGGCTGGGCCTGCGACACCAACACATCACTAGAAAACCCAGAGGGAACAAGGAGCAAGTGCAAGTCCAGGCAACCGGGCCAAGGTCACGCAGAAAGGTCACTGTTATCAAAACGCTCCTGGTCGTACACTTCAGCCACCACCTTGCGGCCAGCAAACCAGCGCCCGTTGAGGGCCTGGATAGCCTTGTGAGTCTCGGAGGCTATGGAAAACTCCACAAAAATCTTGACAATGATCTCCGCATCCTCCTCCTCGCCCTGCTTCTCCTGGTAGATGATGACGCGGTTGACAGCACCAAACTTGCCACACTCCTCGGTCACCTCCCCCTCCAGGTCATCGTCGATGTCCTTGGGGTCCACCATGTTTCGCAGAACCATCACCGTGGACTGTGTGGGGGAGGGGACAGCTGAGCTACGGCCGGACCACTCCCCGCACCCCCTCCCGCCCCCACCGGCCCCGGCGGCCCACCTCCTGTTTGCGGAGCAGCTTCTGCATCACCATGTGGCGGGCGCTGCTGCCCGAGATGCTCATGTGCTCCTGCTCACTCAGCATCTCTGGCCGCTCTGACTCGGGAAACAGCTCCTCCTCTTCCTTCTCCTTCTTGGGCTCCAGGAGACCCAGCGTTGGAGGGCTGGCCAGGATGGGGTTTACCACTCCCACAGAGGGGATGGTGACCGGAATGGGAGGCCGGGCTGGGGTCACACCTGCAGCAAACCCACCAGGTCCAGCAGTCACACTCCCCCCATCTCTGCCCTTCCCAGGAAGGCGCCCCAGCACCACTCAGCCATCACTGAGCAACGTCTTACCTGGGGCGCGGAGGACTATGCCCAGAGGACTGGCAGGGGAAGGAGGGGAAGGCCTGACCCACCCAGGCTCACCTGTGATGACTCCTGGGGCCTGGGCAGCCATGACAGCCTGGGGCAAAGCCCCCAGAGGCTGGGCCAGAGTCAGTGCAGGGGATACCAGTCCAGGCGTGGCCAGGGTACCCAGCACCGCTGCTCCAGCCACTGCTTCCTGCAACCCAGAAGGCCACCACACTCAGTCCCCAATCTGGCTGCCTCCGCTCAAGATCACACAAAGAGCCGACACTCAGAGGATGTGGGAGGGAGGAGCTATCCCCACCCAACAAGTGAACTACGCGACTGGACCCACCCTCACCTGAGCTGTGATCTTGGCTGTGGCTGCAGCTGCAGCCACAGCAGCAGCAGGTGGGAGGCCTCCAGGTGTGGCAGGTGTAAGCAGGGGCATTGGGGGGGTGACAGCCTTGCCCACTCGCAAGTACTGGCCACCCAGGTCAAACAGGTTCATGGAAGACACGGCATCCTGGGACGACTGGGCCTTTTCATACTCTGCAGGGCGGGAACACCAGTGAGGGTCAGCCACCGTGCCAAGTGGACCCCGACCTCACCACAGTCTCTCCAAACTCACCAATGAAACCATAACCTTTGTGCTTGCCAGTTGTAGGGTCCCGGGCGAGCGTGCAAGATTTGATCTTGCCGAAGGCCTCAAATACACTCTTGATGTCATCATCTGAAAGGTCCTGGTGCACAGAAGCCACATAGATGCGGTTGAAAGCTCGTGCCTCCTCAGCCAGCTGGTCTATGATAGGCTGGGCCTGCCCTATGTTGCTGGGTCTGCCCACCTGGGAGAGAGGCAGGGCACAAAGCCCCCAGTCAGCACAGGCCTGGCCACGTCAGCCTTCAGGCTTCTGGACAGGCTGCTCTGCATCACCTGGCTGACTGAAAACAGAGCACACTGATGTGCCAGCCCTGAGGCCCACCTCCTTGGCCCTCACCTTAATGTTCCTGCCTCCTAGCATCACCGAGTTCATCTGCTCCAAGGCGAGCTGTGCGGCTTCTGGGACCTCATACTCCACAAAGGCAAAGCCCTGGGTGCAGGAACGTGTCGTGAGGCCAACAGAGGCCAAGGTGGAGAGGGTGAGGGGTGGGGAGGGGCAGACTAAAGCCCACCTTGTGCTTCATGGTGACAGAGTCCCAGGACATGTCAATGCTCTTGATGGGTCCAAACGGAGCAAAAGCCTGGCGAATGGTGTCCTCCCCAAGCTCATAGTAGATGGAACCCACGTAGACCCGGCACATGATGGCCAGTGCCCGTTGCCGCTGAGCTGCCATCTGGAGCAGGACACAAGGGGAGAGAGAGCCACTGGCTTGTGAGGGGGTGGCAAGAGGCTGAGCAGCCCACTCCCCTCCTGGCCCACCTACCCAGCTCCGCTGTGGGGAGGGCTCCCCACGCGGCAGCACGGTGCAGGCTCCGCTCCTGTAGTCAGGGTAGCAGGGGTCAACAGGACCCTACCCCCAGGAAGGAAGGCCAGGCCCAAAGGCAGGACATGGACGCACCCCGGCCCATCCAGGTCCTGGGCAGACTGGCAGCAAAGCTGACAGGTGGTCGGGAGGCAGGGCTGCATGCCCTCCCACCCTGCCCACCTTCCAGTCTGGGGGCCAGGTACCCCAAGCTGGGCTGGAAGATCCTCCTAGGGTCCTGGTCAAGTGCTCCGACGGAAGAGGGAAGGGGAAGCCATCCAAGCTGGAGGGACCCATTAGTGTGGAGGCAAGAGAGGGGGCAGAAGACAGGGCAGCTACTGCCCAGAAGAGAGCCCAGGGGAGGAGGTCAGGAGCCCAGATGGGGGCTCCCTGGAGAGAGAACAAACAGCAGCTGCTCATGCAGGGCCAACTCAGGTAGAGGCTTAGCATTTTGCAAGCCCCCCAGTGTGCTGAACACCTCACAAAAAAGGGCTGGCTGGAGCGCACATCTGCAGCCACTAGGCCCAGCCCCCAGGAACATCAGAAGGTGGCAGAGCTGCCAAAAAGAGAAGCCCCGGGGCTCTCTGGAGCAGGGAGATAACAGGCCCAGCAGGCTCAGAGCTATGCTTGGGCAAACACTGCCTCTGCGCTGGGGCAAGCTTGGGCCAAGGGGCCTCTCCGCGCCCTCAGGGATGGGCTTCCCACCCCTGCCACCTCTACACGATGTGCTAGGCAGGGGGGTTCCCAGAGCCACACGCAGTGGGCCACCAGGAGGAGCTGAGCCCCGGGGAAGACACCATAGGCCCCGGACAGGCAAAGACGGGGCCCTGGCTCTAGCTTCTCCATGAACCGGGGCTCCCCTCAAAGGGCCCCCATAACCAGAGACCACTTTCCCTCTTTAGACACCAGCTGGCCTAGTGTATAGACCAGGCCTTCCCCTCCCTCAGAGAGGAACCTAAAAATAAGGTCCACATATCCCCCAAACTAGGAATCCCCCCCACCCCAAATGGGACTGCCCTCCTCAAACTGGGCTCCCGACAAGTAGGCCTCAGGCCCCTGCTGAGACCAAGGACCACCAAAAGTGGAACTATGTCCCCTCTTGCACCAGGTACCCCGACATGAAACCATCTACCCCTCGGGTCAAAATTCCCCAAGACAGGAGTAAGTCTCCTCTTCAGTGTGGGCTTCCCAACAGGTGGGCCAAGAGCCCTCTCCCTGACATCTCCCCACAGACAGCTGCTTTCCAGAGAGGACACTGGGTCTGCCTGGCCCTCAAAGACGGGGCCACATCTCCTGTTAGAGCAGCACACTCAGGGACGACCCCCAGGAAAGAGCCATGTTTCCCCCTCAGACTTCCTGGAGCGGGGCCTGGCCTCCTCCTCAGCTTGCCTCCGGGGGATGGAGGAGCATCTCCTTCCCAGACTCCTCCGCCCACTGCAGCCAAGGTCTCAGCTACCGCCTCTGCCTCCTCCCTGGCCCACTCTGGGCTCAGCCCAGCCCCTGCCTGCTCCCTGGCTGCATAGCCCCTACACCTTGCTGACAGCCAGGCCCAGAGGACCAAGTCCTTGCCCTTCCCTCTGCTGCTTGCTTGGGACCCCCCAGCCCCCCACCCCATCCATCCATCCTCCCTCCAGGGTCTGATGGGGCCGTGAGTTAGGACTCTTCTCTCCTCGGGGGCCTGACCCCGACCCAGGAGCCCAGGCAGCCTGGAGACTGGCAGAGCTGGAGGCCCAGGCGCTGTGCCTTGTGCGTGCGGGCGACATGGGTGCAGGTGGGCCTGGCGTGGGCAGCTACCCTCCTGGCCTGCTGCCCTCTGCAGTTACCTGGCCGGTTAGTTTTAAGGCGGGACCTCAGAGCAGATGGAGGCCTCCCCAGGGGCGGTCCCGGGTGGGTGCCCGCCCACACCACTGGCCCCGCCACGCCTGGCGCTCTGCTGCGCTCGTCCCGAGCTGGCGGGCAGGGCCGGCTAGGGGAGCAAGGTCCCCAGCACGCGGGCTGCACTGCCCCCCTCTAGCCCTGACTAAGGACATGAGCCCCAGAAGAAGTGAGCATTTCTATTGACCGATTGCAAAGGTGAGAGAGGATCTCCAAAGCCCATTGTCACTGCTGCCATCTGAAAGACAGTAAAGACAGAGTTCAGTCTGTTGGAGCCGAGCAGTCTCCCGCTCTTGTCACACCTCACTCAGACAGCGGCAAGGCCCGGAGTCCCCGCCCTGCCAGGGAGGTCCGCCTGCCTTCCCAAACTGCCAGCCAACTGGCCAGCCGCCGGCACCTGCCCAGGGGGGCCTCAGAGCCCCAGGTGCCCCGCCCCACAGCCTGGCCGGCGGGGCAGAAGGAAGGGAGGGGGAGGAGGAGGAGGAGGAAGGGGAGGAAGGGGGGGGGGGGGGGGGGGAGGGGGGGGGGGGGGGGGGGGGGAGGAGGGTGCAGATGGAGCACAGTGAAGAGCCAGGGCATCTCCTGAGGGCTGGGCAGGGGGCAGGGGGCTCGAGGCCCAGGCACCTGTCGGCCTCGCCCTGGCCTCTTCCCCACAGCCATTGCTGCTTCTCGCCAGAGGGCTAGAGCAGGGTGCTGCTGGAGGTGCCCCCAGCCGGTCCTCTCTGTCCTGGACCCCAGCTCAGGTGGGGTGGGCTCACTGCAGGGGTCGGGGCCTGACCGCTCTTATCCGAGGCCGTGGGGATGGGGAGGCACGCCCCTACATGCTGCAGCACCACATGGGTGCAGAGGCGACCTGAGGCGACAGTTTCAAGTCCAAGAGGAGGAGCCAACTCAGGGTGCGGGCACAGCTACAGCGAAAGGGCGGGGAGGGGGCCGTGGGCACTCAGCAGCTGGGTAAGGCTGGGCCACTCAAGCCTCACGGAGGAACCTGGGCGTCCCAAGAACGAGTCCTTGAGAAACAGAACCACAGCACCTTGTGGGGACGGCCGAAGGCACAGGAGGAGGAAGAGAAGGAAGAGGAGGTGGAGGTGGCGGGGGGGGGGGGGGCAGCGGAGGCTCCCCGGCCCAGGCGGGGGGGCGGCCTCCAGCAGAGCCAGCGCCAGGCCAGAGGGTGGGGCCCTGGTGGCTCACCTGCAGGTTGGTAAGCTGCTGCTGCTGGTGCGCGATGGTCTGCTTCACCAACACGCTCTTGATGCTCTGCTCCATGGCGTACTTCTTGGCCTGCAGGAGAAGGCGGTGAGGAGCACTGGGGGGCCCGGTCTGCGGGGGGGGGGGGGGGGGGCCTTCCTCCGCCGACTGCCCCCACACCATGCCACAACTCCCCAGGGGGTACACTCTCACCTTCTGGAGGGCCTCCTGCTGCTCGGGCGTCAGAGGAGGCAGTCCCAGCTTCGCGGCTGTGCTCTGCCCGTTCTCCATCTTGATGGAGTCCGTCCCCTGCTGGTGGGGAGCAGGGAAGTCATTAAGAACAAGCTCACGACCTCCCTCATGTGGCCCCAGGAGCCCCACCCCACCCATCTCCCCCTACAACTGCACAAGGCCTCCAGCCCAGCCGATTCCCAGGGACAGGCAGGTTTGCCCTTCTGCCATCCCTGTGCCTGTCCCTAGGCCTGTCTCTCTCAAGACCCATGCCACTGAGGAAGGCAGGTACCTTGGGGGCCTTGGGACAACCCAGAGCAGCTGCAGGGCCCAGGCCACAGTGGCCTCCTCAGGAGCTATGAAGACAGGCAGCAAGTAGTAGAAGGGGCCCAGCCCTTGTAGCAAACCTGACCCCAGAACTTCAGTCCTCTGCCACGCAAGAGAGCTGGCCCTGGCCATCCTTTATAAGGAAAAGGAGCCATGGTTTGTTCTCTGGATGTGCAGGGACTCCTCATTCCTGGACTACCTGGCGTCCACCCCTGCCCCCACACCGTCCCACAGCCCAAGCCAGGGTCACAGACTCCGCGTCCCTGCTTGGGCAGAGTTCCCAAGAGATCACTCAAGGAGCAAGGGAAAGGACCTCCCTCCCAGCGCACCTCCATGCAGCGCCCCATCCCCCATCCCTGCACACTGTTGAGAACCTGGAGCTGCTCTCCCAGGTCACAAGAGCCCAGAGGAGGGCTCCACCCAACCTCCACCCAACTCCTCCCTGGGCTGTGCTTAGCCCCCTGGGAAGAGAAGCCAGGAGCAGACAAGCCACAGAAGAAAAGTGGACCTGCCAGCACCCTACCCAGGCAAGCACGGGGACCAGAAGATATTCTGGGGGATGGGGGTAGAGCAGGCACAGCTGCAGACAAATCCAATGTAACTAGGATTAAGTGTACATTCCTTCTGTCAAAATTCATTTGTAAGCTGTTTGCAGGGGAAATATAGCCATGCGAGCAAAAAGAAAAACACAGCCACCGGACCAGAGAGTGTGTGTATCAGGGATCAGATCACACCTGCCTGCCCACGGGTTCAGAGGGCCCGGGGCTACCCACCAACTGCAAGGACACACCCCCGCCAGCCCCCTCCAGAGGGGATGTCCTGCAACTCCCAGCACACGGCCTTCCGAGGGACAGCGGAGTAGGCAGATCCCCAACGCAGATGTGACCAGCAAGGACAGAGGTACAAAGGAGGCAGGGAGGGGCCGGCTGACCCAAACCCCAAGAACCACCACCCTGACTAGCCCAAGTACTGGGTTTCCAGCACAGGGTCAAAGGGCAGGAGGGGCCTGGAGGCCCCTACGCTGGTGACCAGTCTGGCCCCTGAAGCTTGTCTTCTCCACCCTCCCAGCTGGCCCCAAGCCCAGTTCTCTTTAGTGGGACAGAGGCCCTGAGAGCCAGGGGCTGTGACTCTAGAGCAGGCTGTCACCATGGTAATCAATGCCAACCCCCTTCCAGCCCCTTAGAAACTTTTCAATCTCTTCTTTGTCTTGGTAAACAAAAGGCCCTTCTCCCATCAACCAGGGCAGGGGAGGGCTGGCTAGAGGGACACCCTGGCCCCTTTGCCCATCTGCTTCAGCCCCCATAACTTCCCAGGATCCAGGCTGCATACCATGGCCAGCCCTCCCCTGAGTGCGCTGGGGGGCCCACAGGAGGGCCCAGCTCCAACAGGCCCCCAGGCCACCTTGTTGAGCCCCCACTGGAACCGAATGGAGGCAGACGCTGCCATGGAAAAGCACAAAGAACCTTATTACCCAGCAACAAGGCCTGGCTCCACCTCCTATAGGACAAGCTCCCAAGGGTGAAACAACTAAAGCAGAACAAGATCTGCCCATGCCCCCTCTGAAGCCTGGCCCGAGTCCCACACAGACCCATGCTCCGACTTGCACGTTATTCTGCTTTGTTGTTTTATTTAAATTCGAGATTTGACACGAAAATCTGTGTTTCTGGCTCTTAATACCCATCACATTCGGAAACAGCATGGCTGCCATCTTGTAGAACACGGACGACTAACAACTTACATGGCTCAGGTTCAGCCCCACCTGACCATCGTCACTATCTGCCCAAAGTCTGAAGACGCACGAGGCTGCGAGCCACCACAAAAGCAGGTGGGCACTACAGGGAGAGGCGGGAGCCGGGCCGGAGGCTGGGCGGTAAGGGAGCAAGACAGGCACCTCCACCCAGAAGGCAGAGAAGAGTCCCTAGGGCTCCTCCCACCCCACCCCCATCTCTCTGGGCCCAGGGACACGCAGATGGGCGGGCGGGCGGGCGGGCAGGCAGGCAGGCAGACGGGTGGGCGGGCGGGCGGGCCTGAGGGCAAGGATGCTTAAGGTCAGTACCTGTGGAGGTTTCCATTTGTCTCCCGCTGCCACCACTGCCGCCGCCGGCTCGGACCCCCCTCCTTGCTGGCCATTGACCTGCTGCAGGCAGGAAGGAGATGTTGTAATGGACAGTCATAAGACCCACCCACCCTGGCCCTCTCTCCCCTTCCCTAGCTAAGAGCTAAGTGCCCACGGATGAGAAAGAGAAGCCAGCAGGGGCACCGGAAGAGCCCAGCTCTGGCTTGGCCCCTGAACATCCCACAGTATCCACCCGCCCCACCCATTCTTCCAGGACACCTGCAGCTGACCAGGGCTCTGGCACCAAGGGCTGCCCTGGCAGAATCTAAGGTAACCTGGAGTTGGCAAGGAGTCATCAGGAAAGGACAGGACAGAGGATTAAGAGAGCTCCTGCCCCATGCCAAGGAAAGGCATCCTCCCCTGGGCCTAAACCTGCCCCCTGGCCACAGAGCTGAGGTCCTAAAAGATCAGTTCCTTTCCTGCCAGCAGGCTGGGCCAGGCCAGACAGGATGACAAGGGGCACAGCTGGCCATCTCCCCATATCCCCTCCTGAGGCAGACAGGGAAACCTCTCTGGCAACCCTCCCCCGCCCACACACAGCTCAGCATCAGTCCCAATGCCTTCCACAGGCTCTGGTCAAGCCCACACCCCAAGACCCTCCTGAAGACCCCTCTGAGGAGGGCTGCCCTCTGAATGACAGGGCCAGGCAGGTGGTCTGTATGCACCAGCCTCCCTCCCCCAGCAGTCAAACTGTCCGGGGCTGGCAGCTGAGAGCCTGGCTATACCCCACACCCAGAGAGGCCATGGAGCCACTGCTATGCAGAGCCAGCCTAACGGAAGGAACAGCTCCCAACTCAGCTTAGCAGGATGGCAGGAGCAAAGACAGGCCAAGGGCAGGAGGTGGGCAACATCGTGGGCAACGTCGTGGGGGACTTGGTAAAAGGGCCCTGAGACCTACTCCACCTTCTCAGGGGCTACATGGCAGGAACTGAGAGCAGAATACGCTTTCCCCACTCCCATCTTACAAGACCTACAGATATACAGGAACACAGGAGACAACCATACCCACCCTTGTAGCCCTGTGCACAAAGCCAGAGGCTAGGCTGACTTGGTCAGAGTGTGTCTCAGGCTCTCTAGCCCCAAAGGAGATAGCAACACAAGCCTGTCTGTGCTAGAGACATGGTCAGTGAGCACAGAACCTGTGGCTAACGCCCAAGCAGAGACTTGGCTGAAGTTGCTCTGAACTCAGCACCACTGCTTCTTAGGAAAGAGAGAAGCAAAGGACACGGGTCCCCCCGAGTGGGTGTATGGCAGCTGGGGACAGGGTCAGTGTCTGGCTTGCCTCAAGCCCCCTGGCACCCCAGGAGCACATCCGGAGCAGAGGCTGCCCTCTCAAGGATCACAGCAAGTGATCACTTCAGGTCTGGGGAAGCAATCCAGTCCCTTGACCCATGAATAGAGCCAACTTGAGGGCACATTTGTAAACAACTTCCTGCCCCCCCCAAATTAAAGTAACAGCCAACACAGGAAGCAGGACATTGCTGAGAGCAGAACACAACTCAGAAGAGACTTCTCCAGAAAAATCAGTCCAGGAGAGGGTGCTACATAGGACATTCCCTTTGCCTCCAAAGAAACCAAGCTCCTCGTCCCACAGAGTCTCAGCTTCTGTTCTAAGCAGATACTAAAAAAACTTGGAGAAAACTGCTATTTATTATCACAGCTGGTCATATGCTGTCACCCTGTGGCAATGAAAATAGGAGGCTTTGTGGTCACAAAGCTCCCCAGCACCAGGCAGCAGTGCCTCAAGGGGTGAGCAGTCCCCTCTGGGAGGCAATGCAGCCCATGAGTCTGGGACCCAAACTCCAGCACTGTCACTGCTCAACAGCCCAGGACAAAGAGGATCAGAAGTTACTTAACACGTCCAGGTTTCTGGCTCTTTCAGACCCGTGTCCTGGGGCTGGCATGAAGATTCAGTGAGTCACTCCATGTAAAGAACGTCAGACTATCCATGCACGAGACCAACACGCCACAAATCTTACTGATCATTAGTACCGGTGTAACACCCAGGGTCCAATTCCCAAAGCAGAGCCGTTGCAGTATGCTTTCCATCTGTTCAAGCCCTCCTCACATGGTGCCCTGCTCTCTACCAGACGGCTAGGCTCTGTGCTGGGCGCTTTGGATGCAGCAAAAACAAGACGAGACGCATGCCAACTGGCACCTACATAAGAGGACTTCTGTGGTTCATGAGCGCTAAGAAGAAAGTCAAGCACAAGATGCAAAGAAAGGGACTGAGGCACACTGGGCCTAGGCAGCCAGGGAAGCCTAGGAGGTAGCATGCACGCCAGGGTCTTCAGGAGGAAGCGAGAGGGACGGTGCCCACAGGGAAGGGAGAGGGTCTGGGGACCCTGCCAGATGGAACCCAAGGGTAATGGCCCCAAGCAGGAGTGAGCCTAGCTGTCAAAAGTAGGGAAGAATGGACCGGTAAGTCAGACACACACAATGCCCCCAGAAGACTATGTCCCTGACAGGAAGGGGCTGAGGCCTGTTTCTGCAGCCACCAGGTGGAAGGCACAAGTGACAAGAGGCACTTCTGCATCTTTGTCCTTCCCTACCAGATCACCATCAGCCAAGTTCAGTGCCACTCTATCCTCCCAGGAGAGCTGAAGCCACATCTTAGGACAGCAACTGGCACTGTTCAGCATGCATGGACCACAAGACAGAACAAGCTCTCACTACGCCCAACTAAGACGACAAGAAAACAGGCTGCCTAGAAATCTGTCCACTGAACAGGTTAGAAGAGGAACATATCAAGCCACAGCCTGGAACTCACTGCCAGAATTTGATATAAGCCTGGACCTTTACAGTTTCCACGTGTTAACCTCTTGAGAGAATTCAACGGGCAACAAACACCCCTAGTGAAAACCTCACCTTCCAGAGTTCAGACTTTTCGCCCGCGTCCACCTCTACCATGATGCACCTGTCTGGCACCGTGCCACAGCAGAGCTAAGCCAGCTCATCCCTCCGTCTCCAGAGGCGCAGGGTGCTGCTAGTGATAGAGCTTCGAGCAGCCACCAAGGCTGAGCGGCCCTCGGATGCTCAGGAGAGCCCCATCATCCACTCTCGTTGGCTTCTCTTCCTCCTCCACACTCCTTATGTTCCCAGGAGTCCGGGTCCCTGTCTCCAAGCCTCCCTCTGCGTCACTGTCCAGTCCTAACCGCTATCTGGGACAGTAACCAAGTCCTCCACCCGCATCTCTTTTCTAACTTCCCTCTCACGAAGGTCACTTGCTCCTGTGGCTTCAACAGGAAGCAAGAGGTGGTAGAAAAAGGTTAGGCAGATCTGAAAATCACACACTGGGCTCCCCTCACAAGCAGGGGCCTCTCCCCCTCTGGGAGGCAGTTCCTGCCCCAGTGACATGGGTCCAGCCTCCCTCGCTGGGTGTCAGCCCCCGGCTCAGGGCCCGGCCCAGGCCTAGCTCTAGCCCAAGTATACTCCCTGACGCCAAAATGTCTTCCCTATCCGTCCAGCCTGCAGCCAGCTGCACACGTTGCCTTCTCAGACGGGCTTCACCGTGTCACTCTGGGTAGGCGTCGGTGGCCGGGTGGCAGGTAAGTAAAGAGATGAAGTGACGCCATTAAGGGTCCAGGAGGACGGACACTCATTTAAACGGAGGGTCCAGGGACACTTCACCATGGAAGCGTGGTGTGTACAAGGGTTCTCCGTCTATGCCACTCACTCGACGCCACCAAGATGTAGGCGAGCACTGAGCAGCGGAGGGAGGCGTTCCTTCCTCTGGGTGCCCACAGCCCCCTGAGCACAGGTCCCTCGGGCTGGCAGCCCATGGCCTCCGTGCCCGCCAGACCCCCGAACAGGGCAGGGACGGCCTCTGCTTCCCCACTGTGCTTGAGAAACGTGCGCTCAGGCAGCACTTCGCTCCTTCCGAAGGCAGGCCGAGTCCCCGTTAGCTGGTAACCCCCTCCCCGCAGAGCACCAGCCGGGAGCAGAGCCACAGCTGTGGATGCAGGCCGCCGAGGCCGCCACCCTCCCCAGGGGACCGAGACTCCCCCCTACAGGCCCTGCACGCCCGGCGGCCCCTTCACTCGGCCGAGGAGAGACGCCTTCGCTCCCAGGAGCCCCGCCGTCCAGTACGGGCTGCAGGCGCACCCGCTGGCCCAACAGCACGACGGCCGCCTGGCCCCGCTCTGAGGCTGCGGCCCAGCGGCGCCAGCCGAGGCCGCTCGCCGCGGGCGGGCCGGCCGCACCCCGACGGTGCCGCGCTCCGCGCGCTGCGCGGCCGCCAGACGCCGACCGCCGGAAGCTGTAGCCCGCGAGCCGGAAGCTGAGGCCGCAGGCCGGCCCCCGCCTCGCGCCCGCCCCGCCCCCGCCTCTCGCCACTAAGAGCCGCGGGGGCGCGGGAGCGACCGCCGCGTCTCCGAGAGGCCTTCGGCGCCCTGGCCGGGCCGACGACCCAGTCCCGCCAGCTGAGCGGCGGCCCACGGTCACGGGCGGCTCACTTACGAGAGCTATGGTCGCCGTCGCCATCTTGCGTCCGTCGCGGCCGCCGCGCGCGCCACACGCTCCTGCTCCCTCCGCGGTCTCGCGCGATCTGGGCGCCGGCGGAAGCGCCCGAAGGAGGACGGAAGTCTCGCGATAAAAGTCCCTTTCGCCTCCGACTGGGGGGCGGGGGAGAGAGAGAGGCGTGAGCTTCCGGTGTGGGGGGGGGACGGGTAAAGCGCCGAAGCGGAGCGGACGGAAGGGGCGGGCGGCGTTCGTTGCGCGCGCCGCGCTTTGCCCGGGGCCGTGTGCGTCTTGTCTCTTCGCTGGGCTTCCCCGTAGTCGGCGGAGGACCGGCCCACCTCAGTTTGTCTCAGTTAGCCCCTCGCTTCACCCTCCTGCCCCACTCCGGCTGCTGCTCGCACGTAAGGGGCAGGGCGGAGGAAGTTCGCATCCCCTCCGGGGCTGAAGAATCCCCATCTGCCCCAAAGATCGTGTTGAGAGAGTGGTCAAGAGTCGCCGCATTTCGGAGTCAGAGTCCAAGTTGCTTCTTCGCGTCGTGCCCTCTCAAGCCGGGGTGTGCCTACCAATGGATGGTGGGCTCTCGTGTAATCAGCGTTCTCTTTGCTAGTGACTCATAAGACAGTAGTGCATCTTAAAAATGATGGCGTCCTAGATTCAATGATCTACAGTCGGTAGACCCCGAATTCAAGAGACGGGCTTGTGAACCAACTCAGTGGAAAGGGCCTGCACCCAGGGTCCCCTAAGTCCTTCCAACTATTTTTTAAAGGCTCCAGGCACGCATCATGGCGTTGAGCTGCCCTGGACGTCTGCCACACGTCACACCCAGCCCCAAGACCCTAACTCAAGGAAACCACATCTGCAAGCTCAGGCAGTGAGATTGTCAGTCCGGCAACCTCAGCCTGCCTGAGGCAACAAAGTGTCTTTCCCCGTGTAAAATAAAATGCAGATACCTCTCGTTAAACATGGCAGAATATTTTCTTCACATCCCTCCCCTCTAAAATGATAGGAAAAGAGTTTTGTAAAGGCAAAACCCCATGAACACAGAAGTGAAATATTGTGCAACTGGAGGAAGGTGGACAATGGGATCTGCTTTAGCCAACTGGAGGTTAGTGTCTGAGGGGTTGTGTGTGAAAATGTAGTTGGAAAAAGGAGACCCCACACCTCTATCCCTACTGGCAGTGGCTGGACTCTCAGACCAGGGTCCTGTTCCAAAAGTAAGGGAGTTGATGAGATTCTTGCCTTTTTCCCACCTCCACCCCAGCTCCAAGTCTAGCCCCCAGCCACGCATGTGCCACCCATGAACCTCAGAGCCCCTCTCTGCAGCAGTCCTGGCTCAAAAGAAGACTGGCGGCTGGAGGGTGCTCGGGAGAATGGCCTGGCTAGATCCCTGGCCTCAAAACTCACCAGGCAATAAGCCCCACCAGTAAGATACCCCTCTTAAGAGCAACTGGGCAGCCCAGGATCACCAGACACCTAAGGAGGAGGAAGACAAAAACGGAAAAGGGAAAGGGACTCAGAAGACAATAAAGGAAGAAGAAAAGCTAAAACCATATCCTCAGAGATACCAGAAAAGATGTTGCATCCAAAGTCAAAACAATATGTTGCACATCTGAAACTAATAAAACACTGTATTTTAACTATCTGGAAGTAAGATAAAAACTTAAAAGAAAACCGAAATCAAGAACAAGAGGCCATAAAGAAAGAACATTCAGCAAATGAGAACGAGTGCTTACGAATTAAAAATATGAGAGGAAAATAACAATCAATGAAGGGTTGAAAGATACAACTGAAATCTTTCAGAATGTATAAAACAAAACCTGGTAGAGAAGAGAAAATATAATCAATCACACTGAGCAGTATTCTCTAGTGCTTAGAACTGGCCTGGTACCTCACCAGTCTCCATAACAGAGGGGGACGGATGAAGTGGTGAATGGGCTGGGACTTGCCACCACCACTGCAGAGGGTAGGGGCACAAGCACCACTTTCTGGTAGCAGCTTCCCCTATGAAATTTGACAATGATATGTAATAAGGGATTCAGAGTGCTTGTGTGCTGGGCACTGTTCTCATTACCTTACAAACGTTACCTTGTGTGATCTTTACAACAATTTCATGGAGTGGGTACTGTTATTATCCCATTTTTACTGACGAGGAAATAGGGGCATAATATCACACAGCAGGAAGCAGCAGAATGGCCCAGAGCCTATGCCCTTAACTACTGCATATTGTGCCTCTCAAAAGATAATTCCAACATCTAAATAAAAGTCCCACGAAATAAGGAGAGGGGAAAATAAGCAAAAACAAACAAAAAACAAAACAAAAAAATGCCCAAAGAAAATTTCCTAGAACTGAAGGGTTGGGATCTCTGGACAATAGATAAAAGAGAAGTTTTTAATCCAGAAACATCATTGAGATTTCCAAAGGGAGGGAGGAAGAGAGAGAGGAAGAGGAAGAGGTAGAGAGAGGGAGGGAAATCACAAAGGGTTAGAATTCAGAAAGGCATGGGAAGTCTTGGGACTAGAAAAAAATCACATGATACCTTCAAAGTCCTGGGAAGAAATAGTTTTCAACTTAAGCAAACTTTTGTGCCTAGCTACACTAAAAAGCAGATATAAGAGTAGACTAAGGACAAATAGGCAAAGACTCCATAACTTCCCATGCACCCTCTCTCAGGAAACTTGTAGGATGTTCTTCCTCAAACAAAGGGTGAATGAAGGAAGAGGAAAGCGAGGGATCAAGTAAAAGGAGAAAGGAGGTGCTCCAGGATGCTGGTGAAGGAGCAACTCGTGCCGACAGCTGGGTCACAGGCCCAAAAATAAGCAGCTTGGGGCAGAGAGCTGGTATAGTGGGGGCTCTGGGAAAAGATGAAACTGAGCAGTCAATTGTGCAATCAATCTCAAGTATTGAGAGGTTCACACTTCTGCAGGAAAATCTAAGAATGAATTAATACGACATGTATAGAAAACTACACAAACAAAAAAGAAAGGCAATTATTAACTCCAGGCAAAACAAAAAGTTGTGCAAGAAAGCAAATATAACCCTAGGACACCTTGTTCTCTGCTAAGACCTGCAGTAATGAAGTTGTAATAATACACACCACACTGGGATGATGCTGGGTCAGGAAACTGAGGCCAGTGACCCCCCATCTTCTCCAAGGACACCAGCAGGGGACACCTTAAGTAGAAAAACCAATAAAAAGCAGTAAAAGCATGTGTGGCTTGTGAAAGATGGATTTTACATGCCTGAAGAAATAGCTAAGGGTTAAATCTGGGAAGGATCAAGAGCTGGAGACTGCATTGATCATTTATTATTGGCTTTAAAAAAAACCCATTCCACTTCCAAAATGATATGTATATAACTTTGAAAAGATAACAGTTAAATTGAAAACCTCAACATAAGCATGATTAAATGAAGCAATGTATTGATAGTTTTGAGTTCAGTTTAATCATGGGTACAATCTGTTATGCATTTGACACTCAAATTGTTTAAGATAGCATCAGGATTTCCAACTAGACTTGTATGTTATTGTAGATTTGTTATTTTAAGTTGAAAGAGTAACTTTGTGGAGTATTGGGATGTTTAAGACAACTTGAGATTCACTATGTTTGTACATTTATTTGATACACCTTGGTAATTTTGTTTTGGTTTTTGGTTAGGGTAATGTAGTAGGTGGAAAAATGATACCCTCTCTCCAGGATGTCCATGCCCTAACCCCCAGAACCTGTGAATGTTACTTTATATGGCAAAAGAGATTTTGTAGATATGATTAAGGAACTTGCGATGGATTTTTCAGGTGGACCCAACCTAATTACATGAAGCTTTCCTGGCTGCAGAAAACCACAGATGGTTCATGAGAAAGACTCAACCGGCTGTTGTTGGCTGTGACGATGGAGGATGAGTACATGAGCCAAAGAATGGCGGTGCCTGTAGAAGCCAAAAAATGACCTTCAGCTTATAGCGGGCAAGAAGATGGGGATCTTGGCCCTACTGTTGCAAGGAAATGAATTCTTGGCCAGTGCCCCGTGCCCATGCCATGCCTGACATCTGCAGGCCAATAACCTGAAGGAGCAGAATATGGAAACCTAGGAAATAGTTCTCGGCTCACCTAGAACCTCCAGAAAGGAATGCAGCCTTGCTAACACCTTGAGTTTAGTCTGGTGAGACATGTACCAGATTTTTGACCTGCAGAACTATGATAAATTTGTGGTGTTTTAAACCACTAAGTTTGTGGTAAATTCTTATAACAAGAGAAGTAACACAGTGGTGAGCTTTCCTGGTCTGACAATAGAAATACTTCAAAAGAAACCTGAATGCACTAAGTTTATACATGCAATTTAAAATGCTGAAGAACGTTTAACTCAATTTGAAGATGGATGGGAGGTGGTCCAGGAGAAAAGAGGCTAGGACAATGAGGGGTGGGAGGGAGTTGAGTGGGAGAGACAGGGAGTCAGGGGCTGATAGTCTCAGGACTTGGGAGGCAGCTGCCACAGGAGGGGGTGAGTGACGTTACATGGGGGGGTAGTGAATTTGAGAGGAGGCACATCGAGGAGCAAGGAGGATGCCTAAACCCAACCCCTCCAGGCCCAGGAATGTGGGAGAGAAAATAGCCCTATGGAGAGGGCTGCAGGGGCCAGAACAGTCTGCAGAGGGAGTGGCAGGTCCCTGTCCCAGAGCAGTGGAAAGTCAGCAGAGGGCTCCAAGATGGGTCTGCACTGGGCAGGGGCTGGAGGGCTGTGCAGGAGCCATGTCGGGTTGGGGACTCTTGAAGTGTCTCTGCCATCTGCTTCTCCTGCCAGGTCGTGGCCCTGCCTAGTGCCCAGCATTGTGCCTGACGCCTGCAGGTATGGTACCACTGGCTTAATGTGGGGGTTCCCGATGTGGGTCTGTGGTTCCAACAGGGTGTGGAGCATTTCCCTGGGCAGGCATCTGTCCAGGACTGATCCCCCACCCCCACACTCTGGCTCCCTGCAGGGCAGCCTCCCCCATGCTGAAGGCTCAATCACTGACCAGGTATCTTGGGGTGGGAAAGAACTCTTGGCCAGGAAATGGACGATATGGGAAGGAACTGCGAGTTGTGGAAGCTGGCTAGGTGGGGGAATCCTATCCTAAGGACATGTGGGGCCTAACTACTCCCCTGACCCCCAACCCAGGCTCCTTCACCCCCTGATGGACCCCAAATGCACCCCCCCCCCCACCCCACTCCAGGGCCTCCTTGAAAGCTGTGGAAGGCAGAAGTTCCTCACTAGCAGGCATTTGGTCATTAGCCCCCAAGCATGTAAGCAGAGCTCAGCCCCTGGTCCCCTGAACCCTGGCCCAATGCTGAGCTTCCCCGTGTGGGCGGCCAGGGCTGGTCCCTGGGGGCTGGGGTGCGAGGTCACGGCTGAGCTCCAAGGTACTTGAGGAAGGTGCTTTCCAGGAAGGCAGCCAGCTTGGTCCGGTCATCCTGCAGGGTGGGAGGGAGGCATGGGGTGACAGGGGCGCAGACTCTGTGTCCCCCGCGCAGCTCGGCTGGGTCAGCCCACACACCTCGTGAACGAAGCCATAGTGTACCAGCTCGGTGGCAAGGTCCTGGGCACTGTCGGCTGCAGCAGGGGCACAGGCAGGGGCGGGACAGAGGTGTGAGGCCACCACCTGGGCCCACACCTGCCCCCGTCCCTGCCTGGGCCCCCGCCTGGCCTACTTGGGAGCAGGTCATAAGTGAGCTGCCGGTGCAGCCGGTCCTCCAGCACCAGAAGCAGAGTAAGCTGCGGAGGTAGGGAGGCGCGGTTGGCTCCCAGAGTCCCCCAGCCCCCCCACTGCTTCCCCTCCCTTGCTCCTCTGTGGGCCCCAGCCCCTGTCCTGCTCACATGCCAGCGGGCCTTGTCCTCACTTCTCTCCAGGTTGCACTGCATCTGGATCACCTGGGGACAGGGATGGACCAAGGTCACCCACACAGGCTGGACCTCAGCAGCTGAGCAGTAAGAGCAGAGACCGCCTCAGGGGACAGAAGGAACAGTAAGGACTGGAAACGGGGTTAAGTCTCTAAGGAGAGCCTAAGAAGCACATTCACTACCGGCAGCCTGGCAAGTTAAGGAAAACTTCCAGAAGAGTAGACACTGAGTCTGGGCACTGAAGGATACACAGAGTTTCCACAGGTGGGGAGAGGACCTGAGCAAAGAGAGAGCTGTGAGAAGCGGTAGAAGGAAGGGGTCAGTGGGAAAAGGGGCAGAGGCATGGGATGCCAGCAGCACCAGCCCTCAGAACACCTGGGGGGCAGGCTGAGGACCTCCACCATCCCTGTGGGCAGCTTTGGCTGATAGGACATGAATCCTGGCTGCACCGTGGAGGGAAGCCAGGAGGAAGGAGGCTAGGTTGGGGGCTGGTTCACCATCCAGGTAGGAAAGGGGGGTGGCCTAGATCGGGGTGGAGACCACAGAGACATACTCAAGGCCAAAGCGAGAGCCTCTGAAACCCAGTAGACATGGACATGGAAAGGGGGAGAGGGGCTGAGGCCCTGGCAGGCCCCTGGCCAGGAGGGAGCTTTACAGGAGGAGAGATTGGGGGAAACACAATGTCTGGGAGGACTTGGCGAAGACACCAGGACACAAATGTCAGGGAATCAGCAAGCCAAGGGCGGGGGATCAGAGAGGCCTAGGGGTAGATGAGATTCTCAGATGAAGACTGCTTGGAGCACAGCAGGATCAGGGCAGGGCTGGGGGGCAGGAAGCAAGGGATGGGGGAGGGGCCTGCAGGGGGCCAGGCGCCTCTGAAAAGGGGGTATCTTAGCTTGTCCTACCATCTCTTATGCCCCACATCAGGGTCAGCCAGGACGTGTTTCTGGCAGTCTGGAGGAGTGCTGGGCTGGGGGGCGCTCAAAGCCCCTGGCAAGAGACCCCTCTGGGCTATGGACAGGCCTGAAGATGGGCACGGTGCAGCAGGAGCAGGGGCTCACCTTTCTGGTCTCCGAGTCAAAAGGTTCTGGCGTCGGGGTCTTGGCCTTCTGCGCCTCCTCAGGGGGTGGGGCCAGCACACGGGGCAGCCCCAGGGGCCGAGCCGCCGCAAAGTTCATCAGCGGGTAGATCCCATTCCTGAGGATACACTGGGGTGGCTAGGGGCTCAGGCCCGGTAGCCACCGGTTCCCCAAACTCACGGCAGCTCTCACCTGACATCCTCCAGGAATTTGTCAAGCTCCAAGCAGGAGACCTCCGAGTACCTGGCACAGGTGTGAGAAGCACATGAAGGGGGCCAGCCGGCCCACCCCACCAGTGCGGCAGGACTGGGTAGGGGCTGGCCACGTGGAGAGGAGAGGCCTCTGGGCAGCCCGCGCTCACCGCCACTGCAGCGGGGGCCGGGGCGGCCGGGGGATCTCTGCCAGGACTGCGTGCAGGTCCACTGCCTTGGTTTTTTCCTCCACCACATTCTCAGGCATGAGGTCTGCAGGCCGCAGGAGCACTCAGGGTCGTGAAGGGGGCCCTTTCACATCCCGCCCCCAGGCCCTTGGCCCGCCCCCAGACCACCTGCCCCTCACATTGGTGCTGGATGAAGCAGTGAGCTGCCAGGAGCTTCAGCGAGTGCACTTCGAAGAGCACGCGGTGGAAGAGGAGGTTGTGGGCAGAGGGCCGATGGCTGGGGTCCCGGGCCAGGCAGGAGAGGATGAACTCCTGGGAGCGTGGAGAGGAGAGGCTCAAGTGGGTGCAGTGTGAGGAGAGAAGGCCCCTGAAGTCCCCAGACCCCTAGGGTCCAGTCCTTACGGGAGTCTTCTTGCGGGAATGGGCGTAGGGAGAGGTCTACCGTTAGCAGCCAGGCTGGGACCTGATTCTACAAGTAGGACAATCAGGCCCTAGGCCCAGAACGTGCCATTCTCTACTTCCTAGAACCCTCACAGAAATCGTAGGGGGTCAGTGTCGTCATCCGCAGTTCACAGATGAAGCCTGCGCTGTGGAGGGAGGACTGAAGCCCCTGCCCTGCGGTCCCGGCAGGGGGAGGAGGGGTGCTGGGCAGAGGGCCAGCAGATCAGCCCAGGCTCCTGGAGGTCCGTGCAGCCCAGCATAAACCCGCCTACCCACAGACTGCTCCAGCTCCGGAGATGCCCCGATGGGTCCACACCCCGCCCCACATACATGTCCTCTGCTGCGCCTCACGTCTGTTCTGGCTTCACTTCTCACCAGCCCCAACCAGTCCCCATCACTTCTGACCCTGTTCCCCAGAGGCCACGTGGTCAAGCCAGATAGCCTAGAGAGACTGTGGACACAGCCTCCATCCCACACCCCCTTGTCTCCTCCCCACCACGCCCCTGACATAAGCTGGGGCCATGCCGCCTCTAGCTGGCTTCCTGGAGCTTAAAGGCAGGGACGTGGAGTGGAAGACTGCCTCTCCAAGCCTCTTTCTCGTCTCCAAAACAAGCATAACACTAGTGCTCACAGATGGCGTTACCTCTCTGGCCTCTCCTTCCTTAGAAGGACACTTAGGGCCTGCAGGCCTGAAACTCAACGTGCACCATGGGTAAGGCCCTCCTTGTGGGTAGGCCTTGGTGCAGTGGGGCTGGCATACCCCTCCATGGCACAGAGCCACTGCACCTCCGGGCCTATCCCCGGCACCACACTGGCCCTACCTGGGACTCCTAAGAGCCAGCTGGGAGGGGCAAGGCCAGCTGCTTACCCGCATGTTGGGGTCGCTCAGTGAGTGCCTGGCACGAGTGATGGCCTCCTCTGTGACCCGGGTGTCTCCATTGGCTTGGATCTCCAGCACAGCCATCTAGGAGGCAGGGCCAGGTCAGGCATGGAGAAGAGATGCAGGGTGAGCTAGCTGGAAGGCCATGAGGCCATTGGGCTAGTACCTCCAGTGCACACATCCCAAAGGAGAAGATGTCCACAGCAGTGCCATCAGCAACCTCTGAAAGGGGGAGAGCAAATCAGGCTGCATATGGAAGAGGCAGCAACAGCAGAAGCTCCCGGACTCGGGACTCACCACCATACTCTGGCGGGAAAAAGTGCAGGTTCCGGAGCTCCTCACGCTCAGCACGGATCGGGCTTCGGAGATCGTCTGGCAGCGCTGTGGAGAATGCAGAGCGTGAGCAGACTGAACCCGTCTGTGCCCTCCACCCCCCTTGAGTCCCCACGCACCATTGGAGAAGATGCGGTGCCACACTGCACCGGCCACCACAGGGAGAAAGAGTAGGCGTCAATGTGATGGGGCGTTGGGTGTCCTCTGCCCACGGTTTCCGGCAGCCCCCCGCCCCCCCCACCCCGCCAACCCCCCTCCAACCCTGCCAGCACCAGAGCCAATCTTGATGAGGCCGTTGTGCTGTATGAAGATGGTATCACTGGTCAGGTTCCCGTGAATGATGGGGGGACTGCAGGCATGCAGAAAGCTGAAGGAGGGAAGGAGAGTAGGTGTAGTCAGGTCGGGGGGGCACTGAGGGCATGGGGGCGTGGCAAGGGCAAGCCCAGACCCTCACCTGAGTGCAGACAGGATCTGCGTGCACCAGCGCTTCCAGGCCTGGTGGTGGATGGACTCCATCGGACTGGTGTGGAGAGGCGGCTGGGCCTGTGGTGCCCACCCTGCACCCCCTCCTCACATCCCTGACCCGGCCCCAGCCCAGTCCTGTCCCCAGAGCTGCCCCTCACCCACATCCCCAATGCAGCCCCAGCCCACTCCCCATACCCGTGCGTTCATGGCCTTGTGGTTTTTCTTGGTCTTTTTGAGGAATTGCTTGAGGCTGCCCGATGACACGTACTCTGTGATGAAGATGACCTGCGGGGCGGGCGGGCTCCGCCAACTGCAGGCGGGTCCCTGCCACCACCACCCATCCCCCACCCCAGCTGTGGCCACATCCCACCCTGTGGTGTGCCTGTGCCCGTGGCTCACCCGCGCCCGGGCTTCTGAGGCATCCAGCCAGTATTTGTGCAGCTTGACAATGTTGGGGTGGTCTACCAGCACCAGCTGCTCAAACATGGTCTGGATCTTCTCCTGGGAAGGGGGGTGCGGTCATGGGGTGGTGGTGGGGGTGGGGCGCGGTCGCTCAAGGGGTGGGCAGGCCTCACCTCATGGGCCGCGAAGGCCTTCCTATCCCCGAAGTGCAACTCATTCCACACCACCTCCACCCCCTCCTCTGTGTCCATGGCCAGGAAGGTGCTCTGGACCCCTGGCATGTTCCCCTGGTTCACCTGGCAGTGGGGGTGGGGGAGATGTGTCAGGAGACAGAGTGGGGGCTTGGTCTCTACCCACATCCTTGGAGGGGACACAGCAAGCATGGGATGCCGGCCCTGACCCCCTCTGGGGGCCAGGAGGAGTGTGGGCCCCTACTAGCCAAGCAGTGGTATCCAGGGGCTGGGCTGAGGGGGTTTAGAGCAGGTTTCAGGGGATTCAGGATGGTCTTCATGGGGCTAGCGGCTCGTCTGGTCGCAGAGGCATGGTGAGGTGATCCTGGGAGGAGACTGGACCCTAGGGAACTGGGGGTGCCTCAGCAGGGCGTGGGGACCAGGCCAAAGGGGTCCAAGGGCCGGCCAATTAGGAGGGCTGCCTGTACGAGGCCGCGGAGAGATTTCTGGCCTCCTGGCTTGCCCGTGGCCCCGCGTGGCCTCCTCCGCCCCTCCGCCAGAGGTGGACGGCGACCACCCTCTCCGTCCCCCCCCCCCCCCCCCCGCCCCGCCGTGCCCACCTGCTCTCGCCGCTTCTGCCAGCGGCCGCACGGGCTCTCCTCCAGGATGTCGCTCTCGTCCTCGCTCTCATCCTCCCGCTCCCGCTCCCGCTCCCGGCCCCGCCTCGGCGCCGGCTCCGGGGCCGCCATGGCTCAGCCGGCCCAGGCCGCCGCCCTCCGTGGGATCCGCGGCCCCACGCCGCCGCCGCCGCTGCCCGCCTGCCCTGGCCCCGCGCCCAGACGTCCAGGCAGGAGCGAAGCCGCCGGCCGCCGCCTCGAGCCCCCACCCTGGTCCTGGAATTGGGAGGCGCGGGCGCGCGGCCGGCCGGGGAGTAGAACCCGCCCGCCCCTCCGAGGCCGCCGCTTCGGGCCAAAGCCCTAATGGAGAATCCCGGCGGAGGGCAGACCCCGCGCCGCGCCCAGCCCGGGCCCCGCCCATTCTCTGGCAAAGCCACGCCCCGTCCCGCCCGACGACGAAGGCCACGCCCACCCCGCCTACGGCCACGCCCTACCCGAGGGCTCGCCCGGGCAGAACCCCCGCTCGCGAGCCCCATTCCTTATGAGTCCCCCTCCCTGCCTGAAGCCCGGCCTGTCCCTGACTAAGGCCCCGCCCCACGGAGTCCGCCCCGGTCGGGGCCCCGCCTATCCCGCCTAGGGCCTGCCCCCGGAGGTCCTGCTAGGAGCCAGGCGCCCCGCTCCTGCGGGAAGCCTCTGCTGTCGGCTGCAGGGAGAGCAGTCCCCGCCACCAGCCTGACTCCAGCGACCTGACCTCAGGGCTTTCGGCGCCGGCCTGGAGCCGGGTACATCGGATCCTCCCTGGGCGCTCTGCGACCTGCGTGGGACCGGGTCAGGGACTCCGGGAAAGGTCCCTGCCCAGCTTTTGGAGCTGCAGGTTCTTCCTGCACCGCCTCCCCACCACACTCATGCTACGCACAACCCGGAACCCAGCCCCAGACCCCGTTCAGTCTCCAGGCTTCCTTCGGCCTGGGGCTTGGACCCGAAGGTCTCGGGGAAGGCCTGGGGTGGGGCACGTGGGACGGTCACTGAAGTGATAATAGCAGGCTGGCCCAGTGACTTTAATGCATGATCACAAACCTCCCACTGCTTGCAGCTCTGTTCTTTCTATTCTTTCGCACGCGTTTACTGTCCCACACTCCGAAATGGCAATTCTTCCCTTTCCGGTGACGCAGAGGAGGCCAAACTACCCTACTCACATGCAGCCCCTTTCTCTTCAGGAGGCCCCTCAGCACGCCCTCTGGCCATGTCAACAAGAGACACGCTCTAGAATTCTTGCTTAAAATCTCCCTTTACCCCACAACCTTCACTGCCTTCCCATGCCTTCCCATGGTCTCACCCTCTTGCACTTGCTCATTTCCTCCCCCACCCTTCACTGTCTCTTTCTAGGGAGAAAAGTGGTACACACATGTACTTTCTCTCAAATTCGAACCCCAGCCCTGAACTCCTACTCCATCTCTGTTCAGTGGTCTTCAGCCCCACTGGTGTATCAGAGTCAACAGGGACACCTCTCTTTTCCCCAGATGTTGCCATAGATGGCATCTGACCCCTTCCACCATCCCCACTGCTGTCATCCCTATATGACCCACGTTGCTCACCAGGGCCACTGCAGCAGCCTACTCCCTATTTCCTGGCTGCCACCTAGCACCAGGAGGCACAACCAAAATGTCTCTCAGCTGCTCACAACTCTCTGTGTAGTGAACACGGAGACCAGGAAGGACAGGCCCCATGTCCCAACAAGACACCCTTTAATTAAGGACTGAAGATCTAGGATCTTCCAGGGGTCATGCTCCAAGACCTGCACCATTCTGAGAGACTATTCTAGATGAAGCTCCATGTTGCCGTACATGTGTGACATGTTTTTTTCGTTGTTTACTTTCTTCTCTCTGCATTTAAAACATCTGAAGAATCAAAAATCTGAAAAGAAGAAACCTTTGTTTATAAACATGAATATTCCTCTGTAAATTTTGAAGGATATAGCTCCAAAATATGCCAGTCACACAACCCTCTGAGGGAACATATGTAATAGACTGCTCCAAGACAAATTCAGATTGAACCCTACCTGACCACAAAGTGTGGGGCACGGACACCAAGAGGGACCCCAAAGAGACACAAACCGTTGATTGATAGGAAATGAGTGAGTCCACAAGCAGAAGCATATCTTTGAAATGTATGAGAGTGCATTGAATAAACAGAGGAAAACAACAATCGGATGTGTACTATTCAGTGGAACGTGACAAAAAAACAAAAAACAAAGGAAAGACTTCTTAACACTAACCGCAACAAAGTTTATCAGAAAAGGTCAACTAATATCCATCACTAAGATACACACAGACTAAAATTTGACAAGTAAAAATTGCTGGAAATATCCATACGAGTATCATGAGAGCACATACTCATTTTATTTTATTTTATTTTAATATATTATTTATTTATTTCAGAGAGACAGAAGAGCAAGAGAGGGGACACAACCAGGGAGAGTGGGAGAGGGAGAAGCAGGCATCCCACCGAGTAGGGAGGCAGATGCAGGGCTCTCTGCGGGGCTCGATTCGGGGCTCCATGCGGGGCTCAATCCCAGGAGCCTGGGATCATGACCTGAGCCGAAAGCAGACGCTCAACGACTGAGGCACCCAGGTGCCCCCATATACTCATTTTGGCACAACATGGTAAACGTGAAGACGTTAGAAGGAAAATGGAAATTATTAGCTTATCTCCAGATATATATATATTTTTAACAAGGAGGATACATTACAAAAGTGATCGGACTTTTTGAAGATTGCTGAAATACAGACATAAGTTTATAGAAAACGAAGCAACAATGTCAAGAAAGGCCATTCTGCTCAAATAATGGAAAGAAATAAGAGGCCCGTCTCTGGCTCGACGGAAGCTCTCTGGAGAAGCTCCGCGTAAGTGAGGTTCTCGTGCGTGTTGGGGTCGAAGAAGCCCCTGGTGTCGTCGCTCGGGTCCGCCAGGACGCGGTTCATCTCCTCGTCG